TGCAAAGGGTTCCATCCGGGGCTTTGTCACAGGAACCAGTAAGAGTTCACTCCCGCCTCTCCTTTTGATTTTTCCCTGAGGTCAGTTTGTCTTGGCTCCCTCTGCCCCTGGGGAAGTGCTGGCTAATGTCACATGTTTTCTAACTCCATCTTATCTCAATAAAAATGAAGAGCACCAGAGAACACGATGTGAACTGCTCTCCCCAGCGTGAAGGTAAACAATTACATCACGTTTCCAAGAGCACTGAAGCGCCTTCCTCGAGACTTACCATTTTTATAAATCCATTAATCAAACATGCCAGCATTCTCTTCTCGTCCTCGAGAGTGAGCGCACTGAAATCAATAATTGTTCATAATTAACACTGAGGGAATAAATGAGTTTCTAAAAAGAACAAAATATATGTAAGGACTAAGCAATTTAACGAGGAGGAACATTTTGCATTTTCTTGATTTAAAAAACTCCCAACAGGCTGTGTTTCCTGTGATGAAAATATGTAATCTAAATTAATGTAAGTTAAATGTGTTTCATCTCTCTCAAAGACGCTATTCTCAAGATCTATCTATTAATGGCAAAACAGAAGGTAACTTTCTCTTTTGGGGGCAGAAAGGTCCCACTTCAAATGCTGTATATCAGAGAACTTTTGTTCAACATTATAAAAAAATTTCAAACAGAAAGCAAAGCTGAAAAGAATTTTACAGTGAATACCCACATATTCAGCCACGAAGATCCTACCACGAAGATCCTACCAATAGTATTTTATAATATTTGCTTTATCAATAACTATCCCTTCCCCTCTCCATCCATCAATCTCTCTTATTTTGGGGATGCATCTTAAATGCAATCATTTCTATTTAACAACAAATTTAATACAATTATAAATAAGAACATGTCAAGGCCTTATAGTTTTGATTGTAGATGTGAAAACCTATAAATAGTTCCCCATATTTATTCTAAAAAAGTTTTGAGAGCCCAGAGAAAACAGGAATCAAGGTTTTAGTTTGTCGGTTTGTTCTAGGGGGAAATAAGTATTGGCAGAGTCTTCACACATTCCTCCAATACGCTATGGCTCCTCATCCTCTGAGACTACATTTCCCAGCCTCCTTTGCAGCCAGGTATGGCCGCATGACAGTTCTGGCCAATGGGATGTGAATGTGAGCTATGTATGAGCCTTCCAATGCCCACGAGCTGCAACACGGACATGGTCAAGGCCGGTCAGCCTCCTCCAGGAACACAAAGACAACGTCCCAGAGGTATGGCGGAGCTACAAGACAAAAGGAACCTGCGTTCCTGGGTGACATGCTAAAGCAGAGCTACCCTACCTCTACCTTCTGGCCTCGTCTTTTTAGTAAGAGGAAAACAAACCTATTTTATTTAGGCCAACACCCGATATCCTTCTAATACAAGTGCCTTTCTGGATGTTTTCTGTGGCTTTGTTTTTATTTTGTCCAACTAAACTCTATCGGTTCCATTTATTATGAAAAGCCTTGATATTTTGTTTATAACTACCCATAAAGTTGAAAGCACAAAGTCACAAAATAAAGATTCTAAAATTCAGAGGAAAAAAATACATAATTCATCTTGTCGATGGTTAAGTTCTAAAACAATTTTCTCAATGCTTGTAACATTTTCCAGTGAATCAAGCTGCTGTATTTAAAAATTCTTTGGGGACTAGAATTTCAGCCCCAAATAAGAATGGCTTAAGCGTGGTCACATGGAAACGTGGCGGGAAAAAGGGCTAGGAAGCAAAGGAATGATCATTTGGCCTTTGACGCGAAGGTAAGGCCAGTGGATAGGTCTGAACCTCATTGCATGCCGAACAAATACAGTCCTTCGTGTAAGGAGTATGCCCAGTTGTATTTGAATTTCAAATAACTGGCTAATAAAAAAAAATTTAAAGGCTATGTTACTGGATGAGTGAACTCATTATACTATCTGCTGCTCTCAGAAATGTCTCAGCGACAAGGAGTTTGAATTCACTTGGATGAAACCAAGCTTTTTCTCCCAGCAGAAATCTCTCTGTAAAAACATCTGCCAACTCATTTTCTCACGAAGGTTACCCGTCGGCCTCCCTCCTC